GTATTTCTATTTTCAACCTTCTGAGGAAATGCCATATTGCTTTCCAGAGAGGTTGGACCATTTTGCAGTCCCACCAGCAATGCAGGAGTGTCCCAGTCTCGCCACATCCCTGCCAGCATTTATTGTCCTCTACATTTTTTATATAGATTGTTTTTTATCAAGAAAACCTTTTTTTAAAAAAAAAACTTTTTACAACATTGGTCTCCTACAAAATTTGTCCTTTTGTGACTGACTAATTTTACTCAACATAATTTCCTCCAGGTTCATCCATTTTGTGAGGTATTTTGTAGATTCATCGTTGTTCTTCAACATTGTGTAGTATTACATTGTGTGTATGCAGCAAAGTCTGTCTAACCATTGTCTTTTGTAGACAGCATACTGAAAGATCCTGTTTTCTTATCCAATTTGCTGTTTCTCTTCACTGGTGCATTTAGTCCATTTATGTGTAATTATCTATAGGTATAAATTGATTGCTGTCATACTTTGCTTTGTGTGTTTTTTTGTGGTGTTTCTGGTTGTTTTGTGTGTTTTTTGTGGTATTTCTGGTCCACGTAATTTTCTGCACTGAGTTAATTTTTTGTGTGTGGGTTTTCTTTTCATTTTTGTTGTGTTCATGTTTATAAAATCTTTCTGATTTTCCACTTTTATTTTAATATGCAGGTGTATTAATTTTCTTTGAAGTTAACCTGTGATTTCTTAATTTTTTTCCCCTGTTTAAAACAGTCTGTTTTATCTTAAAATCTGCTTGTTTGTCATTTGAAAGTTCTGTATTGACACTGTTCCCTCTTTTTTGCTTTATGGTTGACTTTATAATAATTTGATGTCTCTGGTTCCCTATTTTCAGACTTGTAAATTTGTTTTACTTTAAATACATCTATATCTGGATTGAATTCTGGGTGGTGTGGTCATGTATGGTAATATTTGCTACTGTTGGTTCTCAGTCTACAGAACACCCTTTAACATTTTTTATAAAGTTGGTCTGGCAATTACAAATTAATTATGTTTATCAGGAAATGTCCTAACTTTGCTGTCATATTTGAGGTACAGAGTTTTATGTATGCAGTCTCACTGCCTTGCCTGCATGGCTTCTGGTGAGAAATTAGAGCTTAATTTTACTGGTTCTCCTTTGTAGGTAACTTTTCATTTTTTCCTGAGCTTGTTCTCAGGATTCCTTCCTTGTCTTTGGTTTTGGAAAGTTTGATTGTATGCTTTAGTGATTTTCTTTTTTTATCCATTCATTCATGCTGTCTCAGTTTGAGTTCACCAAAACTAGATCCTGCGACAAGATCTTGAAAATAAGACAAGAATATGGTTTAGGAGGTGATCTCAAGAAACAGAGATTGGGGAGGTAAGACAGGAAAGGAGATAAATCCATAAAAGGATATATTAGTAAGAGACCCAAACTCACTAGGGACCCTCTAGGAGACTTTGTGGAACATGCTTCAAGATTGTCTCTTGATTGAGGCATCAGGGGTATTGATCTACCAACTCCTACCCCCACTGGTTGAAGGTTGCTGCTGGGCTGTCTGTAAACTTGTTAACAAGCAAGCAGGTTCCATGGCTAGAGAATGCTCGTTGGGTATATGAGGTCTATCTGCGGCTGACCTCAGGTAGGAATGAGGACATGTGGATAGAGGGCAGAAAGCTTCTGCTATGCACACATTTGCATGTTCCTTATCGTATTAATTTATTAAATACTCTGCTAATTTTCTTCATCAGTGGTCATTTATCCATTTATAAGAAACATTGGTTTAGACTCATGTGATCATACAGGACCTAGTAGACCATGGATACTTATCAGTCAGGTGTAGACATGATAGCAGACCATAAGTCCAGCAGAGAAATCAGGACCGGGGATAAGAACCTAGTTGTTGTTAGGTGCTTTGGAGTCAGCTCCTACTCATGAGGATCCTATGCACAACAGAAAGGAACACTGCCTGATCCTGCACTATCCTCACAGTTGTTATGCTTGAGCCCATTGCTGCTGCCACAGTGTCAATTCATCTAGTTGGAGTTCTTCCTCTTTTTCACCAAGCCTCTACTTTACCAAGCAAAGTTTCCTTCTCCAGCGTCTGGTCCCTCCTGATAATATGTCCCAAGTATGAGAAACAGAGCCTTGCCATTCTGGCTTCTAAGTAGCAATCTGACTATACTTCTAACACAGATTTGTTTGTTCTTTTGGAAGCCCATGATACTTTTAGTATTCTTCTCCAACACCATACTCAAATGCATCAGTTCTTCTACAGTTTTCCTTATCCATTGTCCAACTTACACCTGCATATATATGAGGCTGTTGAAAATACCAAGGCTTGGGTCAGGCATACTTTAGTCCTCAAATTGATATCTTTGCTTATGAACACTGTAAAGAGGTCTTGTGCAGCAGATTTATCTAATGCAATAGATTGCTTGATTTTTTTAAGTTTTTATTGTGATTGAGTGATAGTTTACATAGGAGAACATCGGTTTTACATTCATCATTTCATTGCAATGATTACAGTCTCCTCCATGCATAGTGATTTTCTTTGGGGTTTGTTTGGGTTCTTTCAGCTTCTTGTATGCGGATCGTCTCATCTTTCATAATGTTAGGGAAGTTTTCTTCCAACAATTCTTTGTCAATTTTCTCTGTGCTTTTTATTGTCTCTTCCTGTTCTGGAATTCTAATCACCCATAAGTTGTTCCTCCTCATGGTGTCCCTTAGGCTGTCTTTGGATTTTATCACTTTTTTGGTTATTCTTCTAGTGTGTTAGTATTCAGAGACTTATCCTCAAGCTCACTAATTCAGACTTCCATTGTGTCAGAAATACTCCTCTGCACTTTCAATATATTGTCCATTTCTGAAATCTTAGAATTAATCTTCTAGATTTCTAATCACAGGTTTTGTATTGCTTCAAATTTTGCATTTATTTTGTCGTTTGTTCTTGTAGTGTTTTCCTGAATTCTTCAAAGATTCTGTGTTCTCCTTCCTTTCTTCTATCTTTCTGTCTGTCCTTTGAAGGTACCCAAATATCACTCTTTTGAATTCTTTTTCAGTTAGGTCCATTACCTTTTCTTCCTCAGAAACATTTTCTGGCTCTACATCTTGATCATTTGTTTGAACCATTCTATCTTGTTTCATTGTGTGAGTTAAAATTGTCTTGTCTTTAGGGTATTGTGGGGTTGCCATACTTATATTTAACTGATGATTCATTGTTGATGTGTTCTTCGGTTCTCACCATATGTGTCCTTTGGATGTAGTTAAAGAATGGAGCATGTACACCATTCTTGTTTACCATTCATACACAATTTAGGGTGGGTTTGACTGGTGTTCTTGATCAGGTGATGTAGGAGATGGTACTGGATCTTGCCCAGTGGGTGGCGTTGTAGTTGTGGCTGGGCTGTATAGGCATGGTTGCTGTCTCCTGACAGGTAGGAATGAGAAACACCGCCTCTGTGTTCCCCCCATACACATTCAAGAAAACAAAACAGAATAAACAAACAAGGAACCAGCAAAAAAGAGAGAAAAATAAAAGTAGGCAGCAACCATACAAAAGAATATAATAGCTATAAAGACAAAAGAGGGACAAGAAAATAGAGCTATGAAAGAGAATAAATAAGAAAAAAGATAAAAGGAAGAAATTAAAAAACAACAACAAATTAGAAAACTAGAGAGAGGGAACATTTTAAGATTAAAAGAAAAAGAGAGTAGAGAGTAGTAAAAAGAAAAAACCCAAAGGGGGAAAGGAATTAAAAGAGGGGAAATGAAAAATAGGAAAAAAGAAGAGAAAACAAAAGCAGAGATAGAAAATAAAATTCACGGGAATGTGAAAAGGAGGAAGAGAAAGAATAAACAAACAAAAACAAACTACAAAAGGAAAGAAAAAAAAAAAAAACCAATACAAAAAACAGTGCAGCTTTTGGACCTGGAGAGGAGAAAACTGTGGGGCTCCTGCAAGCCAAGGACCTTACAAGGTAGGTGTGGAAGGGATGTGACAGCAGAGTTCCAGGCCCTAGATGGAGTTCCTATTATAGCCTCAGTGTTGTCTATATTCAGGGCACTCAATCTGGAAGTACTTCATGGTGGCCTTTAATGGAGCTTATTTCAGTGTCTGTCAGGACCACAGGGGAGCTGGTGACAGGGTAATTGGTTAAATGCTGGTGTGGTGGCTCTGCATGTTTTGTACGTCTGGAGCAAAGCCTGCCTGAATTCAGGCAGAAAAGTGACACAGCTGGCCCTTACCTCCCACTAGCATGACTCCCAACAATGTAGCATCTGACTCCTGGAGAATAGGTCTGTGCTGGGGATGGAGGAGTGTGGGAGCTGTGGTCACCAGGCGAGCTTGGGGGAAAGAAAGAATAGCAGCTTCCCCATAGCCTCTTGTGAATCTGCTCTACCAGATAAACCTCTGTTGCCAAAACTGCTCACAAAGTTTCTAGCTGGCCATTCATTAGTCATTCTCCCCCTCTCACCATCACTGCTCAGTTTCTCCTTAAAGCAAGCACTCAGTCCACTTCTCTAACCTTTCCTTTGAAATTCAGGGTTCCTGAATTTTCATCTGTGTTTGTTTCAGTTTGTCTCTCGTATCTTTGTTGTCAAGTGTACATGTTGTGAGTCTGCGTAAGAACCAAAGATTTTTTTTAAACCTAGGCCAAAGTAGGTTTGTACTTATTTCAAGCAATTTGAAATGTAATTAAATCTTATTACAACAAAAGAAATCATAGTGCTGTTTGCTGAAATTTTATTTCACTGATTATATTATGATTATGAGAAGGCAGAGGCATTTACTATGTATGCCAGGCACCATGCTAAGTGCTTTACATGCATGATTCTGTTTAATCTTATAACAGCTCTGTGAAGTTGATATCTGTGTCCCCATTTTACAGATGAGAAAATGAAGACTCATTCATTAAATTACAGACTTCAGCAACACTCCTGAACTGTTGCTCTAACACTACAGCCCATGTTCTTCATCACAATTTCTGATACTTGACTTTCTTCCTATTGATCATTTTGTAGTATGAGCTGAATAACAAAATGAGAACTTACTAGAATTATTATTTAATACCTGACTTGACTGTTTAGCAGCCTTCTTAGACATTGTATATTTATTTCCATAGGAGCATTGTTTGAACAGAGCCAAAATTTAGTAAAGTCCCCCAAAATTTCGTACACCTAAGTCTTAAGAACAGAGGTATAGTAGCTCTATAATTTAGTCTACTGAATGTAATGTACAAAGTATATATATGATAAACTATATTGTTTCTTTTAAGTACTTTTGGTTTTTTTCTACTTGTTAAAATCAAGCACATCATATTTTATATAATTACTAATTTATTCTTTTTGAACATAGTATATTATAAGCTCTCTTTCTTACTAGTTGGGTATATGTCTGGGCAAGTTATTTAACTTCTTCAGTACTCAGTTTCCTCATTGTAAAATAAGAATGAAGTTTTACCTACCTTATAGGATTACAGTATGTATCAAAGGAGATAATTGATGTGAATTACTTAATACAGTACCTATACAGTAAGCATTCAAAACATTATTGTGTGTGATTCGTCAGATGTAAGACTGATGATCTTATCTGTAAATCTTCATTAGTTCACAGTCAGAAGTTTAAAAAAATTATATTCAAATTAAAAATAATTGTTCTTTTATATTAATAAAAATGTCAAATCTCACTCTAAAATATACAGATGTTTAATCAATGAAAATATTTCTTTAATCTGCATGAGTTATATGATTTAATGTATGTAAAAATTTAAAGTGGACAAATATAAATTACTTTTAGAGTTATAAACTGTATTTCACAGGTATGTATTCTAAAAGAGAGTCTTTTTCTCTTTGGGTTTTAAAATACATTGCTATATGGTTATGTTAATATTTTATATTCTCCACAGAAAATTTGTAGAAAGAGAATTGTTCAGACCTGATGAAATACCTGAAAGACATAATTTATCTTTTTTTCCAACTGTAAATGATATAAAAAATCACATCCATGAGGTACAGAAATCCTTGAGAAGTGGAGATATGGTATATAGCTCAGAGATTATTCCAGCAACGGTATGATTACAGTATAATTCCTTTTTTTGTAAAAATGGTTCTTAGCTTCTAGTAACATATGGCTTAATAGGAATGGTTGCTGCTAGACCATCTGTAAAAACTGTGATATAAGAAAAAAATGATATATCTTTATTAAAACATAAAAGCTAGGGGTTCTCAGATTAAATTTTCTTATTACTCTGCAAAAAAAATAAATAAGTGGCATCAGCCACTCCTCCCACAGCCATCTCTATCCAGTTGGGTTCAAGAATTCATTGCAATGGCCATACTCACAGTTATGGGGTTTATTAGGGAAGTTAACCGGTTACAATTCAGGGTCAGAAATGTTCAGGGCACAGTTGTGCCAGTCAGGATACCCTCTCCTCAGCCATGCCCACAGGCAGGCCTCTCTCTGCCTGGGCCGTGTTGCATAGCTCTTATAGGGCTGCTGATAAATGCCCACAGGACACACCACTCCACCATAAGCCTCAGCTTGAAGGCACTCAGCTCTAGCTCTGTGGGACAGCAAACCTAACTTACGCAATGAAGTGCGTAGAGGCATCCCACTCTGCAAGCAAGTCTCCTGCCCAAAACCACTCAGCTATATTTGATTCATGGACTGGGAAGTTCACTGCACTGTCTTGTACTCTGGTTTGGTTCTGCTGCTGCTGTTTCTTTGCCCCCTCTTTATTGCAGCTTTCTGTCCCTGGGTCAAGGAAGTGTAGTGTATAGGGATCTCAAAGTCCAAAGGACATGCTCCGCTCCTGGCTCTTCTTTGATGGTTGTGAGGTCCCCTGTATCTGCTTCTGAGATGGCTCATTTAATACACATTAGCGTTCCAGGTTTTTATAATCCAGTTAACCTTTTAACTACTCACAGCTGAATCATATACTCCTGTCAGCACCTTCTCCTACCTTCTCTTATTCAGACCCATCAGGGAAAAAGTGGCAGATTACAAAGACTGTAGTTACAGCAGACATCAAATAATTCACTGCACAGCAACTCTCACAAGAAGAAAAATCAGTGCACTTTTAACTCTGACTCTAATAAAAACAGTAAACTTCCTTTTAAAGGAAACATGTTCTTGTTGTTAAGTGGTGTTGAGTCGGTTCCAACTCATTGCAACCCTATATAGGAATTCCAAGGAGCAGTTGGTGGATTTGAACTGCTGACTTCGTGGTTCGCTGTCCAGCACTGATACTACAGCGACACACCAGGAGTCCCTGCAAAAAATACTGTTTTGTAAAAAAAATTTTTACAGACATTCATTGAGTACATACTTTGTATATTTCCCCCTAAATACATTCATGCACTTCTTTTAAATACATGAGCAAATTTTAAGTACAATAGCTCAGACTTGAGTAAATAAAGTGACAATGTTGCTTCCATATGGATTTCAGTATAGCCTCACACTGTGATAATGTTTTCTCCTGAATATTTGTTACTTCTATGAAAATTTTACCTATCCCAAACATAACTATAGTTAACTGTTTTTGTTGTTGTTAAGATCCGTTGAGTCGATTCCGACCCATAGCGACCCTGTATAGGGTTTCCAAGGAGCAGCTGGTGAGCTTGAACCACCGACCTTGCAGTTCAAATGGCTTTGCAGTCTGGCACATTAACCCACAGTGCCACTAGAAAGTACTAATTACAATACTTGCAGTTATTATGGAATTAAAATCTCAGTAACAGTATCCTTTGGTCTCTAAACGTTTACTTTTTAAACTCTGTAACTGAATGGATTCAGATTTTTTTTTTTTAAGCCAGAGATACTACTATTCCTTGCTTTCCAAACAATTATTCACTATGAAGAATTCAACTAAGAACTAAAACATATTTTGTTAGCGTTGTTCCCTGTTACCTAAACTTGCTTTCCAAATACTTTCTTTCCAAGCTTGGTAATCAGGTATATTTGAATAGTAAATATACTTGTGCTATGAAAATGTGAATAAATGAAGACAGTAATTATAAAAGAAAATGTAGTTATTACTATAATGGAATAAAGTATAGTTGTATTGATGTTTGAAAATATATTACTATAAATGCTTTATTATATTTACTGAAATATACATTCCCATTTCAGCTTCAATGGACTACAGACAATGGGAATATTCTCAGAGAGACTGTGACAGTTACATTTGCAGAAGGTAGGTTTTCTTGATTATATTTAAAATGTAAAATCAAAGATGTGTTGAAACTGGAAGGAACTTGTTGTTGTTGTTGTAAAGTACTTTGAGTCAGTTCCAACTCATGTCAACCCCTTATAGAGTGTCCAAAGAGTGGCTGGTGGGTTTAAACTACCAACTTTTAAGTTAGCAGTCCTATAACATCACACTATAACTTAAGGTACTATATTTTCTAATTAAATATTATAAGGAGCCTGGTAGATTAGTGGGTTACAAACTGGGCAAGGTCAACAGTTTAAATCTACCAGGCGCTCCAAGGCAGAAAGAAGAGTCTTTCTGCTCCCTTAAAGATTTATAGCCTCAGAAACCCTATAGAGGATCACTGTGAGTTGGAACCAACAGGACAGCACAAAACCACCATCACTATCAATGAAATATTATAGATGGGAAAACCATGGTTCAAAGAGGCAACAGCAATTATTTTAGGGTTTATGAAAATATTTCCAGGTATTTACATTTCCTTCTGTAATCAACTTTTATACTTCTTTGTGACTGAAATTTTGTCTAGCAAAATGAACTAGGAAGTCAAACTTATTCCAATAGTAATCAATTTTAGATACCCTGATCTGGAAATTATCATCTGTTTCATATGGTCTACCTTTTCTCATCTATTCTTATTTCTTTCTCAATATTCTAGGCTTATTTCAACCCTTTTTCATTTCTCTCTTCTGGAAATGTTTTTTCTCCTTCACTGCTGGACCACTATTCAGTCAGCAATCTCTTTGGCTTTAAGTGCTCTCTAACTTCATCCCCAGTATAAATTTTTACTTTTTGTGTTCATTCTCATCTGTTTGCATTTACCTGATAAATGTTGTATAGTTCTATGTACACTGGAGAATAAGTTCAGGACTGCAAGGTCTGTTTAAACCCAAAGGTGGGCAATTCAAATTCACCAGCCGCTCCCGCTAAGAGTTGAAATTAACTTGATGGCACTTAAAAACAACATTAAAATCTTCCATAATGTTTTGAGCTCATCAGGAGCAAGCATTGTATTTTATTCAAATAGTTTACTTAGTTCCTAGCATATACAAATAAAGTACAGTTGTTTCTTTATTCTTCCACTTATTCATGCTTATAATTCACTTATTCTACACATTTTACTCACTGTATTGAATTCTGGGCGTAGAAAATAACTGGTAATTTTCTTATTTCATCAAACTTAAGTTTAGTAAGCAAAAACACATTAAATAAATATTTTCTAGTTAATTACTATTATGAAGCATACCATGGCAATTTATGTTTCCAGTGGCTAATTTTTTTTGCAAGTAGATCACCAGGTCCTACTCTGTCTTAGTCTGGAAACTCTATTGAAACCTGTCCACCATGGGTGACCCTGCTGTTATGTTCAGTACTAGTGGCATAGCTTCCAACATCACAGCAACAGGTTAACCACCATATTATAACACACTGTCTGGAAGTTGTTAAGGATTTCATTTTACTTGGATCCACAATCAATGCACATGGAAGCAGCTGTCAAGAAATCAAGCAATCTGTTGCATTGGGCAGATCTCCTACAAAACATCTCTTTAAGTGTGTCATTTGGCATCTGACCTCCTCTAACTTAACAATAGGGGAGGAGAGAGAATCACCATCAGCATCAACCCAGGCAGACTCCTGTGACGCAGAGCTTAAACATGCCTCCACCTTTAAACCCTTTCACCAACTTTGACACCAACTGTCCCTCCCACTGTACTCTACTTCTGTGTTATTTTCGTTAATTCATTGCAATGGTCACACAGAACTTACAGACAACACTCAAAGTTGTGGGATTGATTTGAGAAATAACTGGTTACAATTCAGGATTGGAAACACTGAGGATACATTTCTTCAATCAGATCAGCCCATTCCCTCAACCTTTCTCTGTCCCTTTCCCTCTGTCCTGATCTGACAAGTGTTAGAGAGGGTTTTTTTAAGTCTGCCAGTAAATGCCTAATAAAGTGTTTACTCCACTACACCAGTAAGCTTCTGCCTGAAGCCGTAGCTCTGTGGATCATGAAAATTTAGCTGCCTCAATTAAGTGCCCAGAGGCAACCTATTCTACTAGCTAGCCTCCTACCTGAAGACATTCAGCTTTCTTACTCTATGGCCTGGGAAACCCACAGGTCCATCTCATGCTCTTAGTTCAGCTACCTCTGTTTCTCTGCCATGACGTCTCACTGTCTCCATCTCTGTAACACAACTCTGTCTCCTAGATCAAGGAAGTTTAGCAAAGGGATCCTGAGTTCATTGGATGCACTTTACGCCTCACTATTCTTTCTTGATGGTAGTGAGATCCTCTTCTCTGCCTCTGAGAAGACTCATTTTAAACCTAGCAGATAGCAGGAAGACAAAACAGACCAATCCCAGTGTTTAGGGTGCTGTATACCTTAGTTGTATAATTAGAAAGTTATCTAATCCTCTTAGTGGACCCAAGCACCTTACATTTCTACAATCCTACCCAGTCATTTTGGAGTCCTGGAGTGGTGCTGTAAGATAAGCACTGGACTGCTAACCTCAAGTTCAGTGGTTCAAACCCATTAGATGCTCCTTAGAAACCCTATACGGGGTCACTATGATTCGGAACCAACTCAACAACACTTATAACAATACCAACAAAAACCCAGTCTTTGATTGGAGTTACAAAGGCAATGATTGTTGTTGTTAAGTGATGTCAAGTTGTTGTTAAGTGATGTCTATAGGGCTTCCAAAGAGTGTGTGGTGAGCTTGAAATGCCGACCATGTGGTTCAAACTGACTTTGCAATCCAGCTCATTAACCAGCAGTGCCACACCATTAGAAGTGCCATATTTATATAAAGGAGATTGACATATCAGTGAATTGGAGATTCATATTATGTTGAAGAACAATTGTAGTCAAGTACCTGAAAAATATCTCTGAAAGAATAAGTAAGTGGCTTGCCTACTGTTGTAAAATAGACACTTGAGTGGGATAGAAAGGAATGTTGGAAAACATTACAAAAAGCTTGTAAGCCCATCTTCAGCCTGTAACTGATTGGAATACTTAAATGGGGTTCTAGAACTTGCCAGTGAAATAGGCCTCTTGCAGAGCCTTTGGAGTGTTTTGGACCTTAGGTGGAATCCAGAGCCCCATCCAGAACCTTCTGAGATGGGACATTCTCACTAGAAAGGAAAAGCTGACCAGCCTGGAACAGCTAGAGTGACAGAAGATACATCTTCAAAGAAAGATCATCAGGAAAAACCCAAAACAAAAATGACATTATGACTGGCTACAATAAGAATAAGCAAGTTGTTCGCCGGGAAGCCATCAAGGCAAGCAATGAAGTTCCCTCAGGACAAACCCTCCTTTAAGACTGAAACTCAAGGAATCATATGAGCAGGCATATAAGCTTGCTGACAACCACGTGGTCTACTGGTGAGTGGAAGAGGGGGAAAGGCAGCAATGAAGAAATGGGCTGAGTTTGACATGTTCTATGGACTTCCATTGATCTGGAGATGAGAGAGAGAAAAGGAAGGACTGGTTGGTCCAAAGTGTGGTGAGACCTGGGGACCCCTGAGCCCATGGACAAGGACATAGCCACAGAGGGCTAGAGGGTGAGAGTGAAGCATCCAGCTGCTATGAAGTGAGGGGAGATGCACAAGAACACCCAAACTTGCAGATAGTACCCATTTGACCTAGCCTCAATGGCTTGATAATCAGAACTCGACCAGAGGAAGATAAAATAAAATAAATTTTATAAAGGAAACAAGGGTAAATTGCTACAATTTGATGAACTTGACCTATACTCATGGAGGTAGTAGTTCTAAATACCAACAGAGAGGGAAGGGAATCTTCACATCAAGTATCAATGCTATCCCCTCTGTACACAGGGTAGATAGGGGTGGACAACTTAGACGTCGGTTCCCTAAAATGAGGCTGTAATAAAGGCATGAAGTGATTGGCTTACAAGGTTTCAAGAGGGAGTTTAAGAGTGTTTAAGGGAAGATAAGATAGAGTCCCCACTGAATAGTTTTCATCTTGTCTAGATGGGTCTAAGGAGCTCTGATAGCATAGTGGTTACAAATCGGGCTGCTAATCTCACAGTCAGCAGTTCGAAACTACCAGCTGTTCCGCAGGAGAAAGATGAGGCTTTCTGCTCCCATAAAAATTTATAGCCTCGGAAACCCTGTACAGGGTTGCTGCGAGTCGGAACCAACTCCACAGCACATAACAACAACAACAACAGATGGGTCTAGTAAAAAGAGATGGGGGTAAGAGTCTTATAATTCAATAGTGAGTAATTGTTATCATGACTAATTGCGACTGTCACAATTGTAAAGGTAGAAGTTTTGTAACAAAAATGGGGGAATAGTTAATTTTACAGTCCAGACCATCAAGGGACCATCAAGGGAGAAGAGCACAAGTGGAATGTGGGACCTTATCCAGAGAAGCAGCGACACCAGACATGGGGGCAGAGATGGGGACATGGAGAGAGGGAACAGCTGAGGACTCTAGATTCATGGGAAGAGAGGGACTGAGAGCTAGCAGCCAGAAGGCACACTGGCAGACTGTGCTCTTTGGTGGTGTAAATTATTATATACACCTGAGTGTTTAAAAAAAAAAAGAGCTAAAATGAATAGAGAGAAATACTGTTAACTGATGGTACATGGAGAGGATTATAATCATTGTTATGAAGCAAGTTGTATGATTTGTTGAATGTAAAGCTGATGATTTCCCCTGTTAACTTTCACTCAATTCACAATAAAAACATTAAAAAAAAAAAAGAATAAGTAGTTGTGATCAGAGAATAGGTTGTTCAATTTAGAGATTTTAGAGAGAGAATAATCTGGGGTATGACCACAGTGGGCAACTGCATAATAGTGAAGTTAAAATGACATTTATTAGTAATGAAGAAGCCAAGAAATGTGAGTCTTGTTTAATTCTCCCAGAGATCCTTTGAGGAAATCCTCTTATTATCCTGTTTTTATAGATGTGAAAAGTGAAGTTTAGAAACTGAGTTAAACAATATATTGAATGAAGATCACACAGTAAAGCCAGACCCTTGTCTGACACTAGTGCCATTTTAAAACTTACTCATTTACTGTGGAAACAGTAAGTTTTTGTTGATTTTTTAAAATATATAATTTATTTTTATTGTTGTTGTTGAGAACATACACAACAGAACATATCCAGTTCAAAGATTTTTGCATATACAATTCAGTGTCATTGATGACATTCTTGGAGTTGTGCAACTATTTTTCACTCTCCTTTTCTGAGTTGTTTCTCTCTCATTTACATAAACTTACTGCCCCCTCAATTTTTCTCTGATATTTTGAGCTGCTGTTGTCAATTTCAAAGGCGCCTTGGTGGGTCTGTAGGATAAGCATTGTCCTGCTAACCACAAGGTAGGCACTTCAAATCCATCAGAAGCTACTCTTCAAGAGAAAGATGAGATTTTTTTTGTCCCATAAAGATTCACAGCCTTGGAAACCCTATATAGTGTCAGTATGAGTCAGAATTATCTCAATGGGGGTCTGGTATCAATTTCTTCCCATAAATAGATCTCAAAAGAACTCAATACTTAAGACAGACATTTTTTTTACTAGCTATTGTTTGGTTTTGAGGCTTGACATGATTTTTTTTGGTTGAAAGTTTAAAGATTATCTCAAAGCAGTAGCTTCAGAGGTTGTTCCAGCCTCCATGGCTTCAGAAAATTTGAAGTTCTGTCCTTTATTTTACCCCTTTGCTTAGGACTTTTCTATAGAGTTAACTGATCAAAACGTTCAGTAGTGGTAGCCAGGCACCATCCAATTCTGGTCTCATGGCAAAGGAGGCAGTTGTTCATATGGGCAGTTAGCCCACACATTCCATGTCTTCCTCCTATTCTTGACTCTCTGTCTTCCTCTGTTGTTCTAGACAAATAGAAACCAATTATTGTAACTTGGATGGCTGCTTGCAATCTTTTAAGACCTCAGGCATTACTCAATGAAATAGAAGGTAGAACAGAAGGACTATGTACACTATTAGGTCAATTAACTGGGATGTCCCATGAAACTATGACTCTAAACCTCCAAACCAAGGAACCAAATCCCATAAGGTGTTTGGTCATACATAAGTAAACTCAGCAGCAACTCTTTTTTGTTGCTATTATTATTGTAAATATATCTATCACACAACTTTTACCAGTTTAACTTTTTGAGTTCTGGTGTGGCGTTGTGGGTTAATACACCATACTGCAAAACTGTTTGAACTTCAAGGTCGGTGGTTCAAGCTCACCAGCTGTTCCTTGGAAACCCTATACAGGGTCGCTATGGGTCGGAACTGACTTGACAGCACTTAACAACAATAACAACTTACTAACAAATTACATTAGTCAGCTGTGCAACCCTACCATTAATCAGTGTTCTTTATCCATCACTATAAACCAAAAATAAATGATTTTCTATGGACTTAAATAGATGACTATATTTTGGTAGGAGTCCTGGATAAACACTGCACTGCTAACTGCAAACTCAGTGATTCAAACCCATCAGTCATCCCTTGGGGACCCTATAGAGGGTCACTATGTGTTAGAACTAACTTGACACATTAGCAACATATTTGGGTCCTGTATAAGAATTACATGAGAATGATTCAAGTACCCCTAAGAACAATTATATTTTAAATAATGAAGATTTAATAAAGATAAGTCTTTATTTTTATTTATTTGTTCTGGAAAAAGTTAAATTTAGTACTGACTTGGTATTTAATACCTATTTTATCCCAGACATGCTATGTCTACATAAGATCAATTACATTTATAATTGAAAAACTCTATCTTTCAGCCATCTGGAGAAATTTGTGTATAGTTTAGCATCATAAAGTAGAGAATATGCTAGTTCAGTTACAGATATACTGTTGTTGTTGTTAAGTGCCATCGAATCAATTCTGAGCCCTAGGAGTGGCTGGTGAGCTTGAACCACCGACCTTGTGATTCAAATCAACCTTGCAGTCCAGCGCATTCACCTGCAGTGCCACATCAGGACTGTGTATATCTATACAGATTATATATTGTCTTTTAAGGAAAAAAGTTTTCTAGATCTGATCCTAGATTTACAAAATCAAAACGAGGTTGAACCTAGGAATTTATAAAGTTCTCTCAGTGATTTAGATGTTCTACCAAGTCCTGGACTTAGTAGTGGACTAAATGGTGTCTGTCCTATACATACCTTTGACCATATTTCCCATTTTAATATTGATAAAATTTGTGATTAAGGGTAGTATCTTAGAAGTTAATAGATATTATTCAGTTTTAACAGTTTATTTTTTATATAATTTAGGAAATTCACCAGGAGAATCAATTGCTGCCAAAGTGGAAGCAAATCAGACAAGAAGTTCTTTGTCTCCAGAGCCAGCCCATTTACTCTCCTCACTTTCCTCATTTCAGCCTAAAATATTTGCCCAACTGCAGGTAGGTGTAATAGCTTAATTTGGGTCCCTTCTCTTTCTTTCTTAATCTCACCCTTTTCCTAGAAGAGCCCTGGTGGTGGTGTAGGATAAGCACTGGACTGCTAACCTCAATGTTGGCAGTTCAAACCTACCAGCTTCTGCCGTGCAGGAGAAAGGTATGACTTTCTGTTCTTGTAAAGATTTATAGCCTCAGAGTGGCTATAAATCAGAACTGACTCGATGGCAGTGGGTTTGGCTTTTCTTCTCCTAGGGATTTTTAGAAAATAATGATCAAAGATGTTTTCATTATTCATTTCCTCACCTCTTTGTGTCTTGATTCAAGAAGATAATTCAAACAGTATATTTTGAAAAGGCTTAAGATTGACAGTGAATGCTATAAAATTTTTTGTTGTACTGCCTTTTTTTTTTTTTGGTTCGCATTTCTCTTACTTAATATTTGCTAGTAACTAGCACTGTGGGATAAAGCACCAGAGCGCAAGGTCAGTTTGAACCACAAGGTCAGTGGCTCAAACTCACCAGCTGCTCCTTGGAAACCCTATACAGGGTCACTGTGAGTCAGAATCGATTCTAAAGCAATTAACAACAACAGCATAAATTCTGGTGTGATGCTGTAGGATAAGCACTGGACTGCAAGGTCAGTTTGAACCACAGTGTCAGTAGTTCAAACTTAATACCCACTCCTCAGAAACCCTATATAGGATCTTTATGAGTCAGAACCTAATTGATGGCACGTAACAACAACAATATACTTTTACAGGGTCACTTTGAGTTAGAATTGACTCTATGGCAATAGGTTATACTCCTGTGAATTAATCCTGGTAGTGCAGTGGTTAAGCACTCAGCTGCTAACCAAAAGGTCTACAGTTCTAACCCACCAGCCACTCCATAGGAGAAAAATATAGCCATCTGTTTCTATTAACAGTTTTACCTTTGGAAACCATTTATGGCAGTCGTACTCTGTCATACAGGGTCATTATGTGTTAACAGCATATATAAACAGGATGGCAGCATGTTTGGTTTTTGTTTTTATTCTCGTAATATTTTATTTGTTTCAGTTTTGTGTCGAAATAATAATATATCCTAAGAGAATATTGTACATAGTGTATTTAAGCATTTTTATAAAACCCTTTTTGTTTAAAAGGGTTTGCAGTTACAACCAAGATTCACCTCTTCTGATGAATCAGCGACTCTGATACCAGTAAATAACCACCTCTCCTCCAGTCCTTCAAGACTTCTGGATTCATTAGGAAGTACTGTAATGAATAATAATTCTCTACTGCTTGGTCAGAGTCATAGCCTTCAAACAGACACATGCCTAACCCAAAACAATCATACTGCCTCTGCCATGGGCAGCCCTCCAGGACCAGATCAGAATCTAATTCCAATGGATCAGCTTGTGGAAGTTGGGGATGTTGATGATACAGAAAATCTGGAAGGAAGTGTTTCTCAGATTCTGTTGGGAGATGTGCAGACCATTCCAATACGGATTATAGACGGCCATCCCACTCTTAGTAAGTTAAAATCAGTTTATGTCATTTAAAAAATTTGTTCTAACTTTATGAATTATCATCACACCACAGAAAATCTATAATTTCTTCCTGATGGGTTTATAATATATAAATTAATTAAAATTAGAGGAGGGAGGAAATGTTTGCATTTGCATGTGTTTAATAACTTAGACTTAGTTTTTTCTTTTCCTTATTTCTAACTATTTAATCCCATTAGAAATATTCATCCTTTATTTACCTGGTTGTCCTTCAAAAATCTTTGGTGATGTGAAATCAAAAAGGTCATTTTAGAATACATAAAAAAAATGGTAAAAGAAAAGAAAAATTATTTTAGTGCCAAGATTATTATGGAAAAAATGTTATTTGTATATTTCTTCGTTCAAGTATACAGATATACTTGAATGAAGAAAACTAGAATGAAGCATGCAGGTATAAAGATTTAAAGAAATATTTTGAGTTACAGACTTACTACTGAGTTCTATGAAATTTGAAAGGGAATTAATAAAACTTGGATATTTGGGTTTAATTCAAGACCTTGTATTTTTACTTTGTAACCAATCTCGTCAGCATAGTAACAAACTCTGTTAACTACTACTTGACCTGATCATGTCATTTCTTTTACACACAACTAGTTTTTGATGGGTACTTTTGTGGGAAAAGATTTGTAATTTGGCTTTGAAGAACAAAAATACTGTTAGAAGTTATTATTGAAACATATGGAGTTATTTCCGGTTATTCAGTCATCATTATTTGGGGTAAGGAATACTGAGACAACTCCTTTTAGAAAAGAGTCACTTGGAATACTTCTGTATCTGAGTTGAGTTCTGAGTGACATTATCATACATGTTAATCTCAGGTTGTAGTCTGCTATTGTTGGGTCTTTGTCTAAAGAACTCTCTCTAGTAATTTTTGTAAGGTTGATCTGGTTTTTACAAATTCTTTTAATTTCTGTTTATCTGGAAATGTCCTAATCTCACTGTCATATTATATGGACAATTTTGCTGGGTTTATGATTCTTGGTTGGCAATTTTTTTTTTCCTTCAGAGTTTTATATATATCATCACACTGTTTTCTTGTCTGAATGGTTTCTGCTAAGGAATCAGAGCTTAGTCTTACTAGTTCTCTTTTGTAGGTAACTTTTTGCTTTTTCTGAAGTGCTCTCAAGATTCTTTCTTGTCTTTGTTTTTGAAAAGTGTGATTATAATATGTCTTAGTGATTTTCTTTTGGGGGTCTATCCTGTTTGGATTTTGTTCAACTTTTTGGATGCATATCTTCTTGTCTTTAATGATTTCAGGAAATTTTTCTTCAAGCACACATATGTAGGTTATTCCTCTTGATAATATCCCACATAAATCTTAGGCTTTCTTCGGATTCTTTGTTTTCTTTTCTTTTTCTGATTGTTCCTCCAGCAATGAATATTTAGAGATTTGTCTTCAAACTCACTAATTCGGCCATCCATTGACTCAGTTCTACTTCTTTGCTCTTTCAATGTATTATTTATTTCTGGAGTCTTAGTATTAATCTTCTAGCTTTCTGATTGTTTTTTATTTAACAAGTGAAATTTTAATAATAACATATCTAAATTAAAATTTTGGCACATCAATATTTTAAATAGGTTTTTTGTTGTTGTTTCCTAGCATGATTTTTTTCCTTCCCTTTCTCATCACAGCTAATTCTAAAACCAGTTCTGTGGAATTTGCTCCTTAGAGTTTTCAATGGCAGATTTTGGGGAAGTAGGTTGCCAAGCCTTTCTTTTAATTGTTTTTTGTATGGTTTCCAATTTTTCATTTATTTTGTCAATTTATTCTTACAGTGTTTTCCTGAATTCTTCTAAAGTTTTGTCTGTGTTTTCTTTTATTTCATCTGCAATTTTATCAATTATTCTCTCAATCTATTGAAAGTACGTAGATATTTTTATTTTAAATTCCTTATCGTAGTTTTGGTATCATTTCTGATTAATTATACTTCTTTACTCTATTTTGGTCACTTGTTTGAGGCACTCTGTTTTGTTCTGTGTGTGTGTTTAAGGTGAAATTGTCTTTTATCTGAGACACTTTGGTGTCATATTTATATTTAATTGGTGATTGTATGTTAGTATGTTCTCAGGCACTTACCACCTGTCTCCTGAGACTGGAAGTGTGAACACAGTTCTCTGTTCACTGTTTGTGTGGCATAGTTCATGATGGGTTCATGCGCCTTCAAATGTGGGGGTGGTATGCCTATTGACTGAATTGGATCCCTGCTTTATCACCAGTTTCCATTCACATCCTGTGTCTTTGGCCACTTTATCAACAGGCCACAGCCGCTAGCCAAAGCTCAAGATGGCCACACTGCTCCAGGCCAGCATTTTACTTCTCTTTCACTGCTCTTGTTATATTTCCTCTTCTAGTCAGTACTCAGTCCACCTCTCTGTCCCATCCTCTGAAACTCAAGGCCCAGAATTACCACCTGTATCACTTCATCTCCCATGTCTTTGTTACAGAGGATCTACTCAGCATATCTGCCTTCTCAGCCATCTTGTGTCCAGACAACTGGGAACATTACTTTAAAGAAAATTTGTTCAGAGGGCTATTACAATTTTCTACCAGCTTTGGACCTCTGAGAAAGTTAGTAGGAGAGAGGAGAGAAAGAAGGAATGTATGTGAATTGATCCTTACAATAACTCCCTGTGATAGGTGTGATCTTTACAATAACTTCCCCATACTACATGGTGAAACCAAGGCTCCAAGGAGTTAAGTAATTATATAAAGCTTGCATCTCGTCAGCGACAGAGAAGGGATTTAAAGCCAGATCTGTCTATCTCTAAAACTTCTTTCCATTCTGATATACTGCTGCCCTATTTGCTGTACCAAGGTATTTTTGGGAACTCTAACTAAGCCAAATTGCTTTAAAGGAGGCTATCTTTGAACTCAGACTTCCATGATTTATCAAATTACATCATTATCTGAAGGGATACTCAAATTGGATATAAACCTTAGGATCACTCAAATACAGCCTTTACTGGTTCTTTATGTTGTTGTTGTTAAGTACCGTGGAGTTGGTTCCGACTCATAGCGACCCTGCACAGGGTTTCTGAGGCTGTTAATCTTTATGGGAGCAGAATTTCTCATCTTTCTCCCGCAGAACCGCTGGTAGTTTTGAACTGTTGATCTTGAGGTTGGCAGCCCAACTTGTAACCACTATGCTACCAGAGCTCCTTACTAATTCTCTATGGATGGAATTAAATCCATCATACCCTTATGTTACAAACATTAGGTGTATGTTCAACACACTTTGCTGAGCAAATAGGACCGCATTATCTCTGTCCTCTATAGCAGCTGAAAAATGGATATTCCTGAGAAAAATGAAGATTTAATATTAGGCATTTCACTTGCCAGTTTATAATAATAGTGCTGGTATGCCCCATTTAGATTAATTTGGTCGTAAGTACTGTGAAATCAGAATGGTAATAATATTATGAAATGCTTTCAAAGAGCAAGTAACAGCTCAGACAGCTAAGTCAGTAAATTTCTTCCCCCCTACCCCAAGGTACTTATACAGTCAAGTTCCTTAAGGGAAGGAAATTTTTCCTTGATATGTAACTGTCTATGGGTACCACATGGACATGGTAATGCATCATGAATTTATGATACATATTCCTGCAAACAGCAAAACAAATAATTTCTAGATTAATCAGAAGCATCCTGATTTTATTTAAATATATTTTAACTATGATTAAATTTAAATGTATGATATTCCTTATAACTTTATCAAGTTACAGGCTGCTTTTGGTCATAATATCTTTAGAAAAAAAAAAACTATGATTTTCTTTGTTCTTTTTTAATTACTAGAATCAAACTGAATTAATTTAATATAAATGACTGCTTAGATATCAGAAACATTAGGTACTCAAATACATCAACTGCTTTTCTAAATGACTTTTTTCAAACTACTGTTTTGTGCTTTGCTTCTAAGTTCATATAATTCTAGAGATTCCAGTGTTACAAAATATGTTAATCTAGGGCTTTTCTTTTATGTTTGGTTTTAAAGTTGAAGAAACTACAGAAGGTACCATTTCTGTGAGTCAAGTTAAGCAAGAACCCAAAGAACCAGCATTGTCTGTGGAAGCAAAAAAAATTTAGACTGTAAGAAATTATCTGCCACATAAATAACTGAAGCTTTTCAGAATTTACAGCTCTGGTGACTTCTGATGTCTTAGAAAAGAAGGTGAATATTGTAAAAGTATTGTCATTCTTCAGGACGGTGTGATAAATGGACTGAAGACTGTCTGTGAACAGCTTTGATTTGAAATTTACCTAATTTAAAAAGACATTTTACTCTTACTTTGTATAATTATGACGCTTTCTGTTTGTCTAATAAGGCCAGTATTTCAGTAGATAGTCAGTTTATCCTTAGTGATGTAGTCTGAAGACAAACAGTTATCTTACTCATCTCCTGGGAATACAAAATTTTGATGTTTAAATAACAGCAAAAAAACACCATCAACACACCTGTGTGTGAGTGTATGTTCGTGTGTGTGAATCATTAATTTTTTTAAAAAAATCATAATTGAACATATTCCCTCTATAAAGTTGTGAAGAAATTCTTAATTGGCAGGTAGGTGAGAGAAAATTTATAGGTGTCGTATGTTTCATTTGGGAAGATCAACAATAGATATTATAACATTAAGCCCAACAGTCATATCTTTGGAAACTGTGTAGTTGCATTTTAGCTTCTTTCCTTATACTTTTTATACTTACAACTATTAACTAATAGTATACCAACAGTCCATCTAATAGAATTTTAAACATCTTGGTAAGTACTGAGAATTTTTAACTTGAATTAATCAGATAAGCAACAGAAATACATATATGTAGCACGAATTTGTACTGTTAGTTAAACACTTCTTACGAGTAGTAAGATACAGTTATTAAGACAGTAATTATAAGAATAATAGAGTCTCCTGGCATTTGCAGATAATTTGGGGACTTCTTGATGGCATCAAAGGAGTTTTTGTTCTGTTTCTTATTTTATATTGAAGATTTCACTCTGATAGAAAAACATTTCAATTGTATTTGTATTTTTCTGTGCCAGAGTTCTTACTGAATTCACTATATATTTAGGATATATAGTATTTTAGTTCACTGTATTTTAGTTCACTGTATTTTGGAAACTTTAATGTCTGATCTGCTATCTTTGCTTATTAAGTGAATATGTTTAGTACTAGTGAGTAAATTCATTATAAACATGTTTTTCTGGAAGACTTGCAGAATGTGCCCTTTGGACATTTAAATGAAAATATATTTTTTATTTTGTATGTGTATGCCAAAAAGAAAAAAAAAATCAGCTTAAAGCCTTTTTTCTCCCAGAGATCATTAGTGATTGTTTGTTTTTTTTTCAAAGAATTTCAACTATATATTAATATTTAATTTTAAAGCATGCATAAAAATAAAATATGAAATTTAACCTTAATACTTAAAATTTAGTCAATTTTCACTTTTATAAATTCAGGCTTCCATTATTAATTCATTTTTATTTCAGATACATGAAGTGTAACTAAATTTAAAGCACCCTCATATTAGAAGTGGGTTGTTGTTGTTAAGTGCCATTGAGTCGGTTCTGACCCATAGCGACCCTGTATAGGTTTTCCGAGGAGCAGCTGGTGAGCTTGAACTGCCGACTTTGCAGTTCAAAAAGCTTTGCAGTCTGGCGCATTAACCCACAGCGCCACACCAGGACTCCTAGAAGTGGGTAGAATCCTAAAATTATTTTCTCTTCTGATTTTTACCCTGTTTAGTATAAAGTTTATGCCTTATTTAATATAAACTAATATGTAGTCCTGGTGTGGTGCTGTGAGTTAGTGCACTGGACTGCAAAGTCGTTTGAACCACAAGGTTGGTGGTTTAAGCTCATTAGCCACTCCTCAGCAACCCTCAGGGTTGCAATAGATTGGAACCGATTCGACGGAACATAACAACAACAACAATATTCAGTTACATATATTATTTTTAAATAAAAATTGCTTTTCTTTTTCCTAAGGATTGAAAATATTTGTTTTAGACATTATAATGACTGACTGCCAAATCTGACTGTGCTGTTCTAAGTTAAACACATCTCTTAGTTACCTCAGACTTAAATTTATCTTAGTTGCCTCAAACTCAGATTTCTTAGTCTGTGTGACTTCTTTTTTTTTTTAATAAGACCAAATGAATTTATAGATGAGTGATTGATAATATTTTTTCCATGCTTTATTTGTAGTTTTTATGAAAATCTATTCAAGATTTAAAATAATAGATCTTTACTTTTCAGTAATAGTAATTGTTTATTGTTAACCATTTATAATATACACCTATTCTTTGGAGACCTTCCATTCTTTTTTGATGTTGAGTTACTGAGGAGAAATGCTTGTTAAGTTGCAAACCCTAGTAAGTAACCTGTGATGATGAGAGATGTCATAAAATCCAGACTTTGTCACTTGATCAAGGATAAAATATAGCTAAGAAATATTTTTCACACCTCACTCCAGGTTAATGACTCTTCTGATACTTTTTTTTTGTTTTTAATCATGAAAATGGAAAGTGACAGTTCATTCTTCCCACAACCAAACAGAAAACAAAAGAAAAAAACAAGACTATGAAGGAAGGTTTAAATCCCTAATTGTATACTCTTTTGGTTTTTAGGTAGAAACTGGAACTGTCAATATTTTCATGTAAGTATTTCAATGAGTAGCGCTTTAAAAATGTTATCTAAATGAGTTTTTAAAAATTCATTTGTCCTCCGAAATGCATGTTCAGTCAGAACGTATGTAAAGGTGCATCACTTTTTGAAAACTATGTTTACATATTTTTAATGTTTGTTTTTTAAATACACAGGTTATTAAATACTGTGCATAAACTTTCCAGTATCTGTATTTTGGCATTCTCCTACCAGCTCTACAGCAAAGTATGACATATACTTTTGTGTGTCTTATATTACAAGGTGTAATATCTGTAATAGTGAGTTGGACATTCAAAATATGCAGAAGTTCACAATTACAGCTGAGCTTGCATCTTCATGTTCCAAGCCTCCATGTGAACTTGATATGTACTGCAGTAAATTATAGATAAATACAGCCATGGTGGGTTTTTCCCTGAATAGCAATTTTCTGTGTAAGTAGTTAGTATACTTTTAAAAGAGAGGAATGTTTCCTAAAAGGCACAAAGCAATAGAAAGTATAGGTTTTGGAATATGGGCCTTCAGTGGAGTTTCTAATTTAAGGCCCAACAGCTTGTATTTCATTTTTCTTTATATGTTGTCAAAATACATACTTAATCATGTGGGTAAAGGAAGAATGTTTAATTTGTAAAAGGTTTAAAAAGAGGTTTAAAATGTGTGTATATATATTGTAATTTAATGTATAGTGTCCTTGTTATAATTTTTTTTTTCAATAAAAATTCTGTGTAATTTTTTTCTTAATCTTGTTTGGTTTCATTTTTTATACATTTCTGGGTTAATTTTATTCATCTTGAAGATGCTGAATAAGCACTTGAATGTCTGAGATTTTAAAAAAAGAAACCTGAGAATTTTGTTCGGTTTGGAACTTGATAATTTTTAATCATAACTATCAGTAAATTAAGACCTGATATGGTACTGTGGGTTAATGCACTGGACTGCAATAGTAGGTTTGAACTGTAAGGTCAGCGGTTCAAGCTCACCAGCTGTTCCTCAGAAACCCTAAATAGGACGCTATGGGTCAGAACTGACTCGATGGCACATAACAACAACAATAATATCAGTAAATTAAGGGAGTATGGTGGCTCTATACAACAAGTACTGGACTGTGAACCATAAGGTCCATGGCTCAAGCCTGCCAGCTGCTCTCTGGGAGAAAGGTAAGACTTTCTGCTCCTGCAAAGATTTAGAAGCTGCTATGAGTCAGAACCAACTCCACAGTACTTAATAAAACAACAACCAGTAAATTAGTTGAGAGTCCTGGTGTGGCACTGTAGGATAATGCACTGGACCACAGGGTCGGTTTGAACCACAAGATTGGTTTGAGCCACAAGGACAGCAGTTCAAACTCACTAGCTGCTCCTCGGAAACCCTATACAGGGTTGCTATGAGTCAGTCCGACTCCACTACACTTAACAACAACAGCAACATGCATATATACATTTACTATCAGCAACACAGCCAACCATCAACATTTAAAAACAATGCATAGTAATTCTTTTGTATAAAGTACAAGTAATTCTTTTTCCACATTTTGACAATATGATATCTTCAAGTACAGCTTTATATTTGGGAGTAATTACAGATTATGTGATTTTTAAAGGAGTCATAGTTAATTTTTTCTTTCTTTGCTTCATTGCGTTATTCCACTCTGATTATTTTTCTGGCCCATAGAAAATCTTAGTCGCTTCATAAAGGTAACTACCCTGGCTCTTGCCTATCAGCTGGTTTAGAGTTTAAGCATCATAAATGGTGTATCGTTTTGATGTCTAAACACCTGTAATTCTATTTAATTAACTTAGTAATAATGATAGAGACTTGTATACTTTGCCACATATGTGTTAGCTATGAATTCTTTTGTTAAGTAATACAAGCATTCATTGCCTGCTGGATTCTTAAAACTTCAGGAATGAAATAGAAATTTATAAAACTAAAAACTATTTGTTGATGCTAAAATGATTCATACATAAAATTAATTGTATGGGTTAATAAGGAAGACCTTTGATGATGTAATATGGTATAAGAAGGTGAAAGCCAGAGATCAAGGAAAACAGGCAGTTCATATAAACATTTGAATGTTGTGTGGCCTATAAAGTAATAATGCAATTTATATGGAATGTCATGGCATATAAGATGGAAATGCAAAAATAACTAATTTAGTAAAAATGTCAACATGTTAAGGGGGAATGTTAACTAATGTAGGTTTTTGCTATTTGTGATTTGATTTGTTTATGAGTTCTTGGCTATGACAGCTTCAATAAATGGACAGATGACAAGTTAAAAAAGAATGTGAAAGCCAGAGGACAGGATAGGTGTCACATACAGGAAGGGTTTTTATTTTTAAACATCTTCATAGAGGTACAATTAACAGAACAAACTGAACATATTTAAAGTGTATAATTTAGTAATTTTGGGCATATTTATATACATTGAAACCATCAGTACAATCAAGATAATGAGCATATTCATCCCTCCATATATTCTAGTACCCCACTTTATAAGGGTGAATCAAAAATTATCCATATTCTGGCTATAGAATTTATTTTAATAAACTTTCAGAAAAGACAAATACCTCATTTTTCTACATAATCTCCTTGGTT